AGGAAGGAAGGAAGGAAGGAAGGAAGGAAGAAAGGAAGGAAGGAAGGAAAGAGGGAGGGAGGGAGGGAGGGAGGAAAAGAGAAAAAAGGAAAAAAGAAGAGACCCTTGTCTAACTGGCTTTGAGCCCGCAGGTTTGGGAAATGGAGCAGGAGCGCCCCCTGGGGGAGAAGTTAGGCAGCATCCACTTGGTAACTGTCCCTCCAAGTCCCCACTTGCCAGCACCAGGCCTCCTCTCTGGGACTGCCTGGCTGTGTTTCCTAAACCATGCACTGTTTCACTGTGGGAGGTCGCATCCTCTCTCGAGGTCTCAGCCTGTATCTTTCAAGGACTTTTCCTGAGGCCTCAGCGGGGATCTGTGAAGAGGGATTGGTTGGCCTGACCAGGTGTACAGGCAAGGAAGATACTCCCAGAATTGGGGTTGCTGGGGCCAGTAAGGCAGCCTGAGCCCTGGTCCCAATCCCAGGCTGCCTTCCACAAGCTCTGCAACCCTGGGCAGCTTAGTTCTCCTTGTGTTCCTCTGTCTCCTCCTGTGCTAGATGGGGATTACATGGTGGTGTTGGAGACTAAAAAGGTAATGCATATAGAGCTCATGCCTGGCTCAGAGATGCTTCTCCCTCCTTCCATCTGCATACTTACTCCTTGGGCTCTGGCAAGACCAGTCCCCGCAGCACGATGACCTGTCCGGGCCAGAGACCCCGGGGAAGGGGACGTAAGCAGGGCACCTCCTGAAGGAACATGGAAGATGAATGAGAAGGCGACTCACAGAGGGGTTCGGGGAGGGCTACTGCCCCCTGAGTGGCTCTGTGGGCTACTCTCGGGGGCTGGGGGCCCTGGGGCAGGTAAATCTCTACCTCTAGGCCTGCAGCCAGGAGGAGACTCAGCTCTGCTCATTTATTAAACACCTACTGCAGGCCTGGCCCCCTGTGCTCTGCTCTCCCTGGCCTTTCCAGGCTGAGCTCGGTGCCCCTCTGTGCTGTGATACCATGTATGTCCCCCATCGCGGGACCTCAAAGTGTAATGGCCCATTCATCGGTCTGCCTTCCCACCAACCTGGAGGCCTGGGACTGGCTTGTCCCTCTGTTCTAGAGCCTGGTGCAGAAGAGTATCAAATAATCGTGTGCAGAATAAATGAAAAAACGGGTCAAATGAAGTTGGAGGGAGCTTCAGCCTGAAGCTTCGGGCCCACCCACAGCCTGCACTTTTCTATGAAGCGAGGGGAAACCCTGATGCTGAGGTCATTGTCCACCAGGTGGGAGTGCCCTCCTACCCCTGATGGGGCAGGTGAGGAACTACACCTCCACCTGAATGAGGAGGGAGGTCACTCACCAGTCTGGGGCTCTTCAGCAGGAAAGGCTGTCAAGGCAAGAAAAAGGGGACGCGGAGGTCACGTGATGTGATATTCTTGTGACATCTTGATATTATTAAAAACTGGGGATGTTTGGGGTTTTTCTCTCTCAGAGACAATACAGGTGGATGATTGGAGCCCCAGTTGGGTCCTCTTAAATTTAGACAGACACCAGTTCCGGAATAATGGGGAAGAACAGGACGAGGGCCTGTCACTCACTCACTGTGCGGCTGTGGGCAAGTGCCTGGCCATCACCTCCCCTTCTGCCCTGCAGGCCAACCCCAGCTACCTCACAGGGTTGCTCTGGGCATTGAAAGCTCGAACCTAAAGGCATCTTCTGAAAGGAATATGGGCCCTGCCCCTTCTGGGCAGCCATCCCACCCCATCCACCTTCCCAGGCTAGGAGAGGCAAATTCAGGCTTCTCCGGGGTAGGAGGCAGGGCCAGTTGTATCCATGGCAACAATGCAGTGAGGGGAGGAGCAGCTGGGCCTGTGCAGGGAAAGCAGCCGCCCAGCGAGGGGCAGCTCACACTGGGGGAGGAGAGAGAGCCAGCCGCTCAGCTCTGTAACTTGGACCACAAGGGCCCACCTTGCTCCCAAGAGACTCACATATCCGACTGGATACTCGCTGCCGCCCTCCGAAAATGGCTGTTTGGAAAGAAAAAAAGCAACGACAGTGTTCATTTATTTGGCCTCTGCCTGCCCTGCCTGTGCCCGGGACGTGGGCAGAGGCCACTTTGGCCTTGACAGCTCCTCATTCTCCCCATAGGCCTCGTCAAAGGTTCTCCACCCCACCCTTGCAAACATGCTTGTTCTTAGGTCTCACCTCAGTTGTACTCAATCGGAATCTCTGGTGGCAGGCCCAAGGAATCTGCATTGCTAATAAGCTCCTCAGGTAGCAGTGACACAGCCAGCTGCTGTTTGGGCCCCTCAGCTCCCATTCTCCAAGTGACTCGCCTCTTGGCCATTGCTCCTCTGTGTTGACCAGACCCCACAGCCAGTGTAGACTTCTGCCTGAGGCTCTTTGCTCCTCCTTCTATAGTCACCTTCTCTTCCCCTCACCCCACTCATATCTGACACCTCGATGGGGCCCTTACATCTTGGCTATAAATGGTGTGACAGGGCTTGTCTGGGGCTGGAGGAGGTCCCAGGCCTGTCCAGGCAGCAGGGCAAGTCAGAGGCCGCTGCCACCCAGGCCTTGGCTCCAAGGGAACTTACATTGATGTTCAGGAATCCAACCGCCTTCACCAAGATGTCACCAAATATGCCCAGGGTGTCCACTCGAGACAGCGGGAGCCGGTAGCGGTAGTGGAGAAAGTGCTGTCCGTTCACGCTCACCTGGAGACACACACGGGGGTTGGCTCACTGAGCTCATGCCAGGCATCGCTGAGCACTCTTACCTAGAATATTTCTCATTTAGCTTCATCCCAACTCTACAAAGCAGGTACGTTTTGCAGACAAGGTGCCCAAGCTTGGGAAGCCTCCGTGACCTTCCCAAGGTTGCAGAGCTGGCCTTGGAACAAAGGAACCTTTCAACGCCCTTGTCTGCCCCTGACACGGCACGTCCCCACGCGGTCCCTCATGTCACCTCTCCACAGACCTGCCAGCAGCTGCAGGATCCTCATGCGCACGTGAGGAAACAGGCTTGGGAAGCTGTGTGGACCCCTGCCCCAGGGTCTCTCCCTCCACTGCTGGCTCCCACCAGCTCCCTCCCCCTGAAGAAGTTTGAAGGTCCCTGTCATCTTTCTGGCAGTTCACAAGCGCCGTGATAAGCCTGTCCCCTGCCACCGCGGCTGTGAGATGGGGAGAATGAAAGTTGTGAGGATTCAGGGGTTGTTGTGAGGATTCCATGAGCTTCTATTTAAGGGCTTAGAGCAGTGCCCGGCATATTGCTGGCGCTCTTGGCTTGCTAACTGAGACTATGGCAGTGGCGCCTTCTCCAGGGCCAGGCACCAGAGAGCTGTCCTGTTGCCATGTGTACCAGGCTGTGTGGACCCCAGGCAGCTTGAAACCGAGTTTGGCAGCTCCTTGGCCCTCTGTACTTGGCCCCTCCCCCATTCCCTCTAGCATGGTGACATGGGAACTCAGCAGAAGGAAGGAGGGGCGGAAGGACACAAGTTCTAGACACCCAGCACCCTCCCACTTACCTTCATTTCCTCATTCCCAAAGAGAAAGAGGATGAGGAAGCTGGCTCCTTTCTGCAGGGCCAGGTGGGGCCACCGGGCCTCAGCTTGCCAGAGCCCATTGTGCAGGGTGTTGCAGATGACGTGAGGCTTCGTGGTGTGGAAGCGAGGGTTGAAGTGGATGGCGATATCTGGCCGGGGATGCAGGCTGCAGCCACACTGGAAGTCCACCTGGAACCTGATGGGAGATGAGGCTCTCAAAGGGCACTTCCTCTCAGAGACCCCCCCAGAGACCCCGAAGGTAGAGAGGAACCCCCAGTGGATGCCTCTGGGCTGAGCTCCAGCACCCCGTGGAGCACTCCCCTTACCTGCGTGCCTTTAGAGGGACCACTCCCTGTAGCATGACCATCTTGCCTGCACGCAGGCCACCAAAAATTGTTGTGACATAAGGAACCACCTGAACAAGAGGATAAACCCATCCATACACAGTTGGGAAAAGAACCAAAGGACCCCTATGTCAGAGAGGTGCGGAGGGAAGAAGACTAAGAAAACTCAACTCTCCTGCCCTTAACAGAAAATGTCCTCATGGAGACAAATTCGTTTTCTCTGAAATGTTCTCCTCCACCTACTCCCCTTTCCTAGACCTTCACATGTCAAAGCCACATTGCCCTGGAGACGCCAAATTCAGCTCCACTGCCCCCTTGCCCTCTGCCCAGCTCCTAGAGCACAATAGTGTGCCCAGTGAGGCTTGCTGTGCCCTGGATGCAACCCCAGCGTCCAGAAACCTGGTTTTGAGGCTTCCTGAGCACTGTTTATTGGCCAGAGTTAGGTTTCTGGGAGGCAGAAGGATGGACAAGTTGGGACCGAAGAGTAAACCCTGATATGGACTTCTGGAGCGATACCTAACAATGGCCCAACCTACCTTCCCAGGCTCACCTTTCTCCACATAGAAGCTGCATGGCATTCTTAGAACACAACACATACTTTTACAACTCCCTACCTTTTCTGGGGCTGTTTCTTCTGCTCTCCCTCCACCCTGTGAAATCCGTCTTGACTTTCAAGGCTTCCAACATCTTCTCTGACACCTTCTCCAAGCATCATCCACTTTGGCGCCTGAATTATTTCTCAAGAACACTTAGCTGGCATGGCTAGCTTGGCCCTTGGCCGGCTGGCTTACAGGGGACATGTGGCTGGCTGTCTACACTGGGAGGCACAAGCCCCTCAAAGCTGAAGCCCTGTCTTGCCTTCCACAGGCTCAGTGCCCAGCCTGGCACAGCATGGGCTCTGAACAGGTGTTTGCAGAACACATGTGGACACGCAGCAGGTGCACACTGAGCAATGTCACAAGACCGGCCTTCACATGGTATTTCAACTCCCAGCAGCCTTCAGAAGCCCAAGCCACCTAGAGAGAGCTGAGACCCAACGGCACAGCTCTCCAGGTGGGAGCTTGCCGCCTTGTCAAAGCAAGGAACTGTTGTAACCTGGGCAGTTGCTTCACCCCGTTACCCTGGGACCTTGGGAGGTGCCGCAAGTGTGGATGGCCAGAGCACCCACAGCTTGGCTGGGCTCAGCACTTCAACCCCTCCCGCTTCCCAGGCTCCAGGCCTGGCCTGTAATTAACTGAGCTGATGCAGCTCTTGTGGGAGAAGAGGGCCAAGTAAAGAGAAAGTGATAATTAATGCTCATTAGTGGGAGGGTGGAGTCCACTGGGAGGTCAGCCTCCTGGAAAGCATGGCCAGGCTTCAGAAGATCTGCATGCGCTCTGAGCAGAGGGAGGGAGGGAGGAAGCCCCCACCCACCCTATCCTTGAGCTGGAGGCTCTGACTTGACTCCTTTCCAGGCTGGAGATGAGACTGTCCTTCCTGGGTACTCAGGGTCCCCCCAACGACACCACCCACTCCCCCCAAGCCCTCCAGTCACCCATCATGCATAGGGGCCCAGCACTGTGTCTCCAGGCTCTACTACTTTTAAAATGCAAGGACTCTGTGAGCCCAACAGTCATTCACACCCTAGTGGGAATTAGCTAGCCTCCCACTTTGCTAAGCTCAGGAGAGACTTTCCAAAGCCTAAGACTGAGGGCCTCTCCATCCCACCACCGGGGAGTCTGGACTCAGCTGGAAGGGAAGAGCCTGGAGATCTGGGAGGTTCCAAATCTAAACGGCTGCTCACCGGGTGGAAGACTGGCGGCTGCAGAATGAAGGTGTCAGGAAGCGGGTCCAGTTTTTCTCCGGGTAACATGGGGGGTGAGGCGCCTGCAACTGGAGCTGTGGATCCTGATTCCAAGAGCCCTGCCCCCACTGGACTGACTCACCTTTCCCAGTCGGGATCCTAAGTGCCTGGGGCAGCTTCTCCAGCTGTTACTCTCACCTGCGTCCTGCAGGGTCCTAGTGCCACTTGGAGCAGGCCTGGGAGGGCAGCGGTCCACCCCTGGTGCCACCCCCCCCAGCTCTAGCTGCACTAGCTGGACTGGGGCTGTTAGCAGAAATCCATGTCCAGGGGAAGGAAACTCACACTGGCTAGCCAACCAACCAAGTAGCTCCTCTGGCTCTGAAGCATTCGGCTGGTCTTCACAGATGGGAGCCAGAGGCTGGCTCCTTGGGGGGCCAGGGATAGTTTGTGGTTTCCCTGGCTGACCTCTGAGCCCTCCCGGGTCCTCACAGGCAGGGGTGGTGCTACACGTGGGCATGTCCCAGGAGAAGCCCCGCCCCCAGCTTCCTGAATACCCTTGAACGGCTTCTTCTCTCCTCCCTTCCTCTCCCCGCCCCACAAAAGGTTTTAGTCTCTTTCCCTCATTTCCCTGCCCTTTTCCCCACTCTTCTCAATTTTGTAAGTTTTATAGTCCCCTGGGGCCACATTTCAGCATGAGCAGAAAACGCCAGGACCCAGCTGGTGTCACAAGGAAGTGGGGGGGGGGGATGTGAGAAAAGGGCAGGGAGAGAGGAGGGATCCCCCTTAGGCTCAGAAAAGGCAGCGCGGTGCAGAGGGGGGCACACAGCTGCATCCAAGGAGACCTGGGTTCTTGCTCAGCCTCTGCTCTAACTTGCTGTGTGCCCTGGGGCAAGTCACTTCCCCTCTCTGGAACTCCCTTTGTTCATCTGTATATAGAGAGGGGGACCACAGCAGTGTGTGTTTCCAAGGGAGGTCTGTATCTTGGGGGTGAACCCAGACATCTGCATTTTTATCAAGCTCCCCCATGATCTTTTGAACTAGAGTTGGTCCAGGTTTGGTTTAAATTCCAACAAGGCTTTCCCTTTAAGAAGCAGCATAACCACTCAACTTTATCCCGAGTTGGGAGGTCTGCGATCTGACCAGTATCAGACTTGGCAGCAAGGGATTCCTGGCAGAACCAGGCTGGGCAAAGGCTCAAGCGCAGGGAAGCATAAGCAGCTCCTTAGAAGGAGGGGTGCGTGCATAGGCAGTGGGGGGAGGCATCTTAGCCGCTACTCAGGGGTTGCATCAGCAACATCTAAATGCTTGTTAAAAATGCAAACGTTGGGGCCCCACCCGGTCCTTCTGAAGAGGGCTCTCTGGGGGTGGGGCCCAGGAATCTGAATTTAAACGCAGATTCTGATGCATGTTAATGTTTGAGAAGCACTGACTCAGGCCCTAACTGGCAGGGCTTGGAGTACTGAGCCAAAGAGTTTGTTCAGATCTTGCTGAGTAGGTGGAGCTGGGCTGCTGAAGGTGTTCTGTGTAGGGGGGGAGGGGCGGGGGCGGGGAATTCAACCAGAGGCGTGTTCGGGAAGAATAATATACATACATGCCACGGGGGAGGGAAACCAAGGTGGTGAAACCGGCTGGGCCTGACGCTGCCTCCTCCCCACCGCAGCCTCAGTTCCTGTCAGTTTGCTTGGGCTGCCATAACAAAATAGCATAGCCTGGGTGGCTTAAACAACAGAAATTTAATTTCTCATAGCTCTGGAGGCTGGAAGCCCAAGATCAAGGTGTCAGCAGCGCAGTGTTTTTCTGAGGCCTCTCTCCTTGGCTGGCAGGCAGTCACCTCTTAGTCTGCGTGTTTGTGTCCTGACTTCTTGGTATAAGACGACTAGTCATACTGGATCAGGGCCCACCCCTATGACCCTATTTTACCTTAATTACCCCTTTAAAGCCCTTATCTCCAAATATAGTTACATCCTAGGTAGTGGGAGTTGGGATTTCAACATACGGTTTTGAGGGATTACAATTGAGCTCATAACAGAGAAGTAGCCACACACAACTGTTCTCTTTCTGAAACCCTAGGTTATTGCCACAGTCAGGAGTGGGGACTGGTGAGGGCCTGCAGGGAGAGGCAGCAGAAGGAAGCAGGATGGAGCATTTCATTTTGGTTTTTAGGTGACCCCGGTGTGGGGCAGGTTAGAGGGACTGGTCTGGGCTTAAAACGCCCCCAGAGCTTGTTGAATATGAGAAGTTCCAGAATAAGAGCGGGCCTGAGTGTTGGTCTGTCAGGGGTGGAGGAGGGAAAACCCCTCTTCTTGAACCAGAGTGAGGGGAATCTTTTGGGAGGGGTCCGGGCAAGGGCTGTCGCTGTCCCCGACATGGACAGGGGGATCTCCCCTCTCCCCTATGCGTCCCACCTCCTGCACTTTTCCCTCAGAGCACTTATCATAACTTGTCATTGTATACGGAAGACTTGTTTAATGCTTGTCTCCACATTACCCCTACTCTCCACGACTAGATTTATTCTTACACCCTCATACTGAGCAAATGCCTGACACAGAGCAAGTGCTCAAAATGTATTTAAAGAATGAATGGCGGAATGGTTTACGGCTCCTGTCCAGTCTCTTCCTCCTCCTCTGCCTCTTCTCCGGCAGATGTGGAATTGTGGCCCAAGCACAAACTAGTCACGTACTCTTCTAACTGGCTGCAGATTATAACTGAGGCAATTTTACCTGTATCTGCCAATCACCACTTAATGGTCTAGAAAACATAATCCATGGTCAGGGATGCCAAAAGTGCTCCGCTCTCCCCCATTCTTTGATCCAGCAGCCTCTTTCACAACTCCTGATCGTGAATGAATCTAAGGAGGCACTAATGCATAGATCAGCCTCCTTTGGTTCACATTTTGTCACGTCCTGCGTGGCAAGGGCAAATGGGACACGAGAGGGGCGACGCAGATTGAATAAAGAGACAGAGACAGAAGTAAGAGTTAAGTGCGAGACAAGGGACTCAGCCTTCAGAGAGTTAGACTGAGCCACCGAATCTGTCGATGCATGGTTTTTATTGATAATTCTTAAGGAAGTAAACTGCTATGTTGTGAGTCATTATTCGGTAATCTTGTGTGCCTTAAGGCCTTTTCCATTGACCTTTTCCCCATTGTACTCCAGCAAATGCTATGCCTTCATACTCCACCACATTGCCCCAGGACATAATTACATGTCCTCCCAGGGGAGACAACTGATATAATTCCATCAGGTCCCAGTCAAACCGGAGACGCCCCCCCCCCAGCTTTACAGATATCATTCCATCCGGCCTCAGTTTTCTGAGACACTCTCTCGACTAATGGGTCAGAGGCTAATGCAGAGGGGGTGGTCTAAGAATCGGCTGTAAGGCAACAACATTTCTACCCTTTTCTTCTGTCTGACTCCCATCTAGGTCCCTGGAAACTCCCCTGGATCTTCTTTCTCGAGGGACCAGTTTTGCATCATCCCGGAACAGAGGGTAGGATAATTAGGAGAAATACTAGGCCAGAAGAATTGACATAACCTGACTGTTGGATGGACAAAGGAGGCTAGGGGGAAAGGCCAACAAAAAGTGACTCCAGCATCTTGAAGCAAGTGATTGGGAAGATTCTGGTGGCATTCATGGAAGACAAAGGAACTGCAGGTGTAATCTGGAGGGGTGGCAAGCTGGCTAATTTCACTCAAGGCCACTTGGAGGAGGTGGGGGTGCAGGAATCAGTCTGGACAGAGTCTGGACACAGGGGGTGTTCAATCGGTTATTTGTTGAAGGAATGAAGGTACTGTTGTCTGCAAGCATGTTAATACACTCTTGAGAAAAGAGTTTCAGATTACTTGGGTGCCATCCTGCCCTGTGGATGAGTTTTAGTGGCTGCAGCCACTTTTCATAACCGAGTGCTGTGGTTGGAAAAGAGAGCTGGAGCAGCACTCAATCTTGCTTTCAAAGAACTTCCAGTCTAATTGGAGAGAAAAGACACACACTTAGAAGGGAGAGCAAATAAGACAAAAACCAGCTGCTTTTCAGTTATCTTCTCCCCCTCCCCCCCCCTCCCCCAAACAGATAGAACCATTTGGACAGAAATATTGCAAAAAGGAGAAAAGAACAAGCATCACCCATAACCTCAGTAGCTAACACAATACTCCTCATTACTTTGATGTTTATCCTACTGTGGGGGAGGAAGACATTGTTTTCTACCCTTCTAGGTCCTTCTGGTTGGTCTAATAATTAAATAGACATGACACAGGTTAACAAGAGAACATGACCAAATTTAATTACACACATATGTATGGAAACCCCACATACATGAGAGGTTTCTAGACGGAAAGGGAAAATGAGGTATTTATGGCATTTCTGAGCCAAGGAATAAGGTAAGGTGCCTGGGGCTTCAGAGGAAGGTGGTTGCAGGATGATAAGAAGAGCAGATGTTCGGTAATTAGAAGTTTGCCCTGCCCTACAGATAGGTCATAAAGTTCTTTCTGGTGATAACTCTTATGATGGGGAGGCCTCCAATTAAAATTCTTTAAGGGAGAGGTAAAGGTTTCTCATGAACCTGCAGAGTTCCCATGGCCTTCAGCTCAAAGTAATTCACATGCCAAAGTGGCATGTCTTGGGGAGGCCTGTTCTGAACCCCTTCACTACCAAACTTCTTCAGATCATAGATTTATTGCAGAATCTCAACTCAAAACCCAAATCAGCTTGAGTTATTTACAACCACTGCTCTTGACTTCATTTGTTGACTCTCTTCCCTGCTGGGATGTGAACCCCTCAGGCTGCTCCTATCACTTTCCAGTGACTTTCCAGTGACTTTCGGTTACTGCAGCTCAATCTGGTTTCACGCTGGTCATCAACATTTGTTGACATCATAAAAAGGAAGAAAAGCAAACATATTTACTGCCTGACAAAAGAACACATCACCAATGAAATCCTCTTGAAGAAAAAGTCATTGAATCTGAGTTGGATTGAGTCTCTAGATTCAACTACCAGTTTATAGGAATACTGAGCACAAATGGTCATGGTGAACAATGACAGTAAAATTCAGACTACGGGAGACTTTTTAGGCAAGTGACTCAGTTTCTTCCATTAAAAAATGACAGGGGAAAATAAAAGGTGGCAGAGAGACCTACAGGGTTGGCAAACTTTTT